AAGAGTGAATAATAAAAGAAACCAAAGAAAATTTAAAAATAGTACTAGAAATCTTAGAACAAGAAAAGGAAAATTTAGCAGTTAGTTTTCATTGCGAGCAAGATCAAAAAATAGATTTTTGCCATTTGCCAAAAATGAACTCGCAAGGAAATTTCATTATTAATGGTCACAATAAGGTGGTAGTTTTTCAGTCAGTGCGAGCACCATCGATTTATTATTTTGACGAGCAAGAAGATGGCTTCTGTGGAGAAATAATTCCTTTTAAGGGACCTTGAATTAGTATTTCTTACAGTGCCAAAAAACCGCTGGCTCTTGAATTGAAGTTTCTTAATTCTGGACTAGTAGTCAACTTGTTAGATGTCCTAAAAACATTTTCCGTTTCGCCCGAATTGCTAAAATCATTGTTTGATGAAGAAAGTTTAAACATTGCTGATTATCAGGAGGCTCAGGAATTAGAAATTGGAGTTAGTTTGCCGCAATTTTTATTTACTAACAGCAAAGGAAACTCTTACTTTAATATTGGAAAATTGGGACGAAAAAAATGTAATCAAAAGATGGACATTGTTGAACAATTAAAAGGCCAAACATTAGCCGAAGATTTGACTGATAGTAATGGCAAGGTTCTGTTGAAAAAAAATGCTATTTTCGAGGAAAAAAATCTGCAAATATTACAGAGCGCTCTCCAAAAAAAAAAAATAGCGGGAGTGGTGGTTCCTCACTCTACTAATGATTTATATGTTGTTAAAGTAAAATCACCGCGAAATGAAGAAAAAACTATTTCGGTAGTTGGGATTGCGGACAAATTGTCCGAAGAAAAAACTTACTTTGATGTGGCTGATTTGATTTGTGCGGTGGCGGGTTATATTAATTTACATCACGGTTTAGGTAACGCCGAAAAAGAGGAAGATGAGGATAAATTAGAAAATCAAATCGTCCGCCGGGTCGGTGATTTAGTTTACAATATTTTTGACAACAAATTAGGCGGATTTTTGCAAGATATCGATAACAAATACCTAGCTTATATTTCGCAATTAAAAAAAGTCGACTTGCTCAAAATTCCTAATTTAAAAGACTTTGATAATCTCATCAAACATTTCTTCAATACCTCGGCTTTGGCAAGATTACAAAACCAAAATAAT